ACGAATCATGGGTATTTGTTGTCGTCACTTTTGAAAAGATTTCTCGCGTTGTGTAATTTATCTTTGCGGAACGTTTCGTACGTGTACTTTTTAAAAATACATATTGACATCGACAAAATGAAAAAAGAAAGGAGCTACCTAATTCGAATGCAACATTGCATGCTTATTTTTTATTTTTTCCTACGTGTTTCCTTTTACACGTTTCACTGTGGTGGCAGGTAGTCTAACGGGGACCAATATTGAAATAACTTTTAAATTATGCATTGGGAACGAAAAATTGTTTTCCCTTTTTTATTTTACTTTTTGTCTCTTTTTTTTTTGTTTTTTGTATATTTAAGTTACTTTAAAGTAAAATGTTTTTTTTTTCGCATAAATAGCGACGTTGGATTATTCAAATTTTAAACGATATTCCATCGAAAAAATTTAAATGAAAATTATCCGAGCTAAATTTCACATAAGCTGTTGTATTAAATTTAAGATCAACGTTGATTGGTTATATTTTTATTTGTAAATTTGATATCAACATTTTGTTTTTTATTGAAAGTAATTCAATTTAATATAAATTCATTGCTCTTCAAATCTTCGTATGAATTATATGAACAATTACATTTATTTGTCATTTCTAAATTATTAGAAGTGAATGTTTTAGGTTCATTATCCTGTCTTCCTTAATTTTATTTATACAATTCGCGTATATTGTTCTTTTTTTTTTTTTATAGAGGAAAAAAACCATGGTTCGACATTGATCTTAATTAAATTAATTTGTTGGGAGTTTATAAATTTTCCTGGGGATTTCTCGAGACAGAAAATTTATTTATGAGACTAAATAGGAAAGAAGAAAGGAAAGTAAGAAATAAACGAAACGAAATAAGGGAAAGGAGTCAGTGGGGAACCTAAAGAAGGAGTTCGCGAAAAGCTCATTGGGATTTTATGCAGGCAGCATTTTCGGGATCATTAGAAATCTTGTCGAACGGCTTCTATGCTCGGTGATGCAGAAAAGGAACTCGAAACGGATGGTTCATGAATATTTCAGTCCTCTCTTCTCGTTCTGAAGAGAATCAGGTCGATATCAGAAATGAGGTCCTTCTTACTTGTCCTTCAAAAAATATATCTCCAAATGGTCTTAATGCATATGCATATATAAAGGTACATATATACATATAAACATA